CCCCTCCCGTCCTTCAGCAACACCAGCGTCCCTCCAGGCACCCATGCTTCCCTCCTCTTGGCCTATGGAACCACCCTTTCTGGAAGGGTGAGTCGCGCACCCAAAGTGTGATTCTAAGTCTGTGTGTTCCTTCCCTGGACGATATTCCAGTTTAATCACGGCAAAAACAGTCTAGAATTTGGATCCGGCTGTGACCTCTGCCATTCACTCCCTCAAGTGAATGGATCCGTAATTTTTCTAAGCCCCAGTTTCTTCACCTGTGATGTGGGGTCATAAACCTGCCCCCTTTCTCTCTCTCGGGGTGGGGGGGGTGGGAGCTGCTAGGAGTGTGTCCCAGCACTTTGTAACCAGTAAGATGGTATCGTAAGACTCCACCCTCTTAGAGATGTTTCAGGTTTCAGTGCAAAGAGGGGGCGAGTTTTTGGTTCTAGGAAAGTTCTTTCCCCGTACCCGAAGCTACACACATTCCGAATCCACACAGCATTTTGCCTGTCCCCTCCTCCACCCCCACCCGCCCCCATAGTCCAGGGTATCGTCCTGCTTCCCAGCAGGAATCACCTGCTCTGGGAAGGGAGGAGAGAGGAAGCAGGAGGCCAGGTGGAAAGGTGGATGCATCTCTTGAACTTGGAAAGATTTCCATGAGACGAGCTTCCCTGAGGGACGTGTAGTTCCATTTGGTTCCACGAGAAACAGACTGTTCCCATCACCGGCTGGAAAGCCCGGCATCTTCTCCTTATCCTGGGCAGCTCCCCGAGGCTGAGTGTGTCTAGGGCGTGTCCTCTGCATCCAGCCGTCCCTTTTGCCCTCTCTGGGGACCGGGTCAGGATCGCCCTGGTGCTCGTGTGGGATGAGTCCCGGGGGACACAGAAGCTGCCGTCGGGGCTTTAAGGAGCCGTCTTAGGTAGCAAGCTACTTCGTCACAGTCTCTTTAATTCTTCGCACTTGAGAAACGAGCATTCTGTCCCGAGAACTAGCCAGGAGTTCCGCCAGCTCTGAAAGTCCCCCCACAGTGGCCACTAGGCTTCATCCTGAAGACTGTCCTAAGGGGGACAGCATCCTACAGAGAGAAGGGGAAATGGGAAGAGTTGAGGGGGAGAGCGGGCCTGGGGGGGAGCAGGCCCTTTCCTCCGTCTGGTCGGAGCCGTCTGGGCGCCAGGATCAGGGTGCGGGCGCTTCCAGACAGTGTTAGCCGGCCTCTTGCCTCAACAGCAGAACAGTGGCTGAAAAAAGCGATTTTCTGAATGACAAATACATCATTCATGTGGTATTATGCATCATGTTGAAGAATAGCAAAGGGCCCACCGTGATCCTCTTCCCTGCCGGTCGTTCCCATCACCAGATGCAGCCCGTGTTTCCAGATCCTCCCAGACACTCTGGGCCAGTGCAGACAGTGGGATGCAGGTGTACAGGTTCTTCCCCGTCTGTGAAACTCTAAATGGATCCTTCTATGCAGACGGCTCTGCGGTTTGCGTCCTTCACTTACCCCTCTGTCTGGGAGATGAGAAGGACGGCGGGGCTTGCCGTGTTCCGTAGGGAAGAAGGCTGTGGACGTGCAGTGCGTTGTGTAGCCTCTTCCTGCAGATGAGCACCTGTGTCTCAAGCTCTGCTCTGAAGCACCAGGGAGGTGGATGACCCCAGACACTGGCTGGTTAGCGCTGACACGAATACGTCTGACGCACGAATGCCCAGTAGCAGAACGGCTGGGGAAGAACTTGTGTTTGTAGTCGTGAGAGATGCTGCCGAAATGACCCCTCAGAGGCACTGACTTCCTCTGGCCTCGGAAAATTCCCCCGCGGGCCTGGAGCGGGGTCGCTGCCAGATGGGGACGGGTCTAGACTGAGCCCTGCGAGACCGAGTAGGGTCCACCCCACCCTGGTGCTTGTTGCTGCTGGCTGAGGGCACGGAGATCACTGGGGCCGCTTGTCCTTTATGTGAAGAACTCAGGCCCCCGAGGGGCTCCGCCTGAGGGTTCCCTGCGGGTGGTCAGGATGTGGTCAGTGGCACAGGCTTTTGAGCCCAAGAGCCGCCCCCCCCAGTCCAGCTCTGTTTCCCCCTCTGTTCAGTCTGCAGCACAAACCCCGAATGCAGGGAACACCCCAAAGAAAGCACAGGAAGGGCCCCTGTGTCCAGTGGCCCAGGCGAGAGTTGGGAGCAGGGACCAGGACGTTTCCCGCTGGACCGTGGCGCCTACGCGGGCTGTCACAGGAGCCAATGAAGGCCACGCCACCACCCCTGGGGCCTGAGGCCCGCGAGGTGTCTGTCCACAAACAAAGCAGCCCGAGGGCTTCCTTCTCCCATCCGGCACAGCCCCCTGAGAGGCTCGGGCCCGCCCCAGCCTGGCCCGTGGCCTCACTCCTGCTCCGTGGGTATCACCCACAGCCTGGCCTGCCTGCCAGAGCGCCTGCATCTCCCCCTGCAGAGCTGCTGGACCATCAGATCTCCAGCTGCTCGGGGTCCCCAGTCTCCTTCCTCCCCTCCTCACTCCCCCAGCCCCATCTCCAAACGGGCCTTGCTTCTCAAGACCTTTGGGGTGGAAACTTAGGGGCCTTTGCTCTTAGGGGCCTTTCACGTCATAAGTCTGGAGACCTTCAAAGCCGTGGTGACAGCATTCTACCTCCTGCTTTCACCTGGAGCTCCTCCCAGGTCAGCCTGGGGCCCGGGCGGCAGGGATCCCCACTTGGCGTGGTTCCGTGGGATAAGGGGTCCCTGGAAAATGACACTCCTCCTTTACCTGGTTGCTCTCCCAATGCGTCTGCCTGGGAAATATGGGAGGGGAGATGCCAACTGAGCTTGAGCCCTGGCCCTGCCCCCTTCTCTTTCTCTGCCTGTTGGGGGCCAGCATTTACCAAGCACCTGCCCCTGGCCCAGGACAGCTCTGGGCCGATGATGCGTTTGGGGGCCGGGGGGAGGGGCGGGGAGCGGGGAGAGAATTCCATACTTTACATTTGGTTTGGTGTGAAGCAGCTCGTTGTTCACTCTGGTAGCGCTCGGTACAGACGAAATGTGCTGAGTTCAGGGGCGGGAGGCTCCTAGGGCCGCAGAGTCAGCAGGAGGGAGATGGGATGAGTTAGGCGGCCGCTCTGGGCGGGGGTGTGCTCAGCGATGGCATGAGAGGACGTGGCACAGAGCAGCACAGAGAAAGAGCCCCAGGCTGGTGGCTCCTAGGCTGACCAGTCTTTGTCAAGGTCAGAAAGAACGAGAGGATGGCCGTTGGACCATGTCTACTGATGTCTTTGCTTTGGCTTGCGTGATTAAGTATTTTTAAATAACCAATTTAAAATAAAAATTTTATTCAGTTACCTATAAATGTGAGAGATCAGACTCAAATCCGGAGTCTGATCTTAGAAAACAAATCAATATCAGGCAACGTTATTGTATTCATTTCCTAGAGCTGCCATAACAAAGTACCACAAACTGGGTGGCATAAAACGACAGAAGTTTTTTTCTCTCACGGTTCCAGAGGCTGGAAGTCTGAAACCAAGGTGTCAGCAGGGCCACGCTCTCTCTGAGACTCTGGATCGAATCCCTCCTTGCCTCTTCTAGCTTCTTTTTGCCTTCTTCCAGTTTTGTTGAGAAATAATTGATACGCATCTCTGTATACGTTTAAGGCATACAGCACGATACTTTGATTTGCGTGTATTGTGAAATCATGATCACGGTGGGTCGGCTAACATCCCTCATTTCTATAGAAACAATAAAAAGAACAGAAAAAGGAAAAGAACTTTTCTCCCTGTGACGAGCGCTCAGGATTTACTTTCGTAACAACTGTCCTGTGTATCATACAGCAGTGTTGACTACAGTCGTCATTTTGTACACGACATCCCTGGTGCTTATTTATCTTATAACTGGTAATCTGTACCCTTTGATCACCTTCCTCCACTCTTCTAGCTTCTGATGGTCGCCAGCAGCGCTTGGTGTTCCTTGACGCATAGAGGCGTCACTCTGATTTCTGCCTCTGTCATCACATGGTCTTCTCCTCTGTGTGTGTGTGTGTGTGTGTGTGTGTGTGTGTGTGTGTGAGTGTGTGTGTGTGTCTGTGTCTTCGCCTCTTATAAGGACACTACACATAGAGTTAAGAGCCCAAACTACTCCAGTATAATCTCAGCTTGATTCCATCTGCAAAGACCTTATTTCCAAATAAGGTCACATTCATAGGTACCGGAGGTTAAGACTTTAACATATCTCTCTGGGGGTGGGGGAACGCCATTCAGCTCACAACAATGATCTTATGGTGTAATCAGCTAGGTGTGAGTGAGAAAGGCCCCCAGGATTGTACCAACCCTGTCGAAGTGGACGGCCTGTCACCCTGGCAGAGTCGTGTCCCCAGCCTCCTTGCAGTTCCTTGGTCACGGATCCCCACCCGCTTCCTCCTGGTTCCTGTCTATCTGAGTCTTCACTCTGCAAGGCTCCTTCCTTCCCCAGGCCGCCCCCGGCGCGCATCTTCATGGTGATTCTCACTGCTGCACACTCACGGTGACCATCTTCACGTGGCACATTTTGACAATAACAGCGTGTCTCGTCTGGTCCCCGGTGTATGTTGTCAGGTGACGTCTGCATCCCTGACCTTTGTCTCTGCTGAATCCTTCATGAACTTCCTTATGTCTCCTCTCGAGTAATATGGGTTCCCCTCCGCGTGCTCTTGGCACCATGCTCTGTAGGGGAGGAGGGGAGATCCAATGGTCTTGGACTCAGTGGCAGAAAATAGCCTCCGAAGTGTGTGTGTAAGAAGTCTTTCACCCCGACAGCTTCTGAACTGTCGGAGCGACCCCTTCACAGCAAGGCGGCTCTGCCCGCGACTCAAGTCGGATGACGAGGGGATTTCTGGGCACAGCTGATTCTAAGGGATTAGAAGTCATTGTCTACTAGCTTGTCCCCAGTATTCAGAATTTGATCTTTTATATTCCTGCCATTTGAGATTTTTGGCCCTTGTAGATGGAAGCCCCTTTCCCTGTGTCAGCCAGATTTCTAACGGCCCTGTGTGGTTTCCTCCTCAACTTCAGGCCTCTCTTCCTCTCCATCAACACCCACCCAAGTGGTCAAGCAGCACACGTTTCCTCTCGAATCCTATAAGCATGAGCCTGAGCGACTGGAAAATCGCATCTATGCCTCCTCTTCCCCTCCGGACACAGGCCAGAGGTTCTGCCCGTCCTCCTTCCAGAGTTCAGCCAGGCCTCCGTCAGCATCGCCAACACACCATTCTCCCTCCAAATCTGTAAGTCTGGGCCTTCTCCTGGGGGCCGGGCCGCCAGCTATGGGAGGGAGGGCAGAGTCTGTACACAGCTGAAACTAAAGCTGTGCACTCCTGTGACATTTTTGGTACATTTTATCATGAATCACAAACTGAGAAAAAAATGGCGAGGGCACAGTAGGCAAACGGAAACCAAATGAATGGTAACATCTGGAACATGATCAGAAAAAGCTTTTTGCTCTCTTAGCTTCTTTTTTTTTTTTTTTTTTTTTCCCGGTACGCGGGCCTCTCACTGCTGTGGCCTCTCCCGTTGCGGAGCACAGGCTCCGGACACGCAGGCTCAGCAGCCATGGCTCACGGGCCCAGCTGCTCCGCGGCATGTGGGATCTTCCCGGACCGGGGCACGAACCTGCGTCCCCTGCGTCGGCAGGCGGACTCTCAACCACTGCGCCGCCAGGGAAGCCCTCTTAGCTTCTTTTTAAAAATCAGTCATTAAAAGCTTTCTTTGAATTTATCTTGATTGGGTTACTAAAGTAAAAAGTCATAGGCAAAGCCAAAAAATGGTTTCTTGTAGAAATTTTATTCTAGATTTTAAAGATTTAAAGTCTGACATCATTTGACTTGGGAAGCATCCTTGGAAAGGTGAACCTTTCAAAGCAGAGTGGGATGGTGAAACAGGTGTCTTTGCATCCTTCGGAGGATTGGGACTCGTGGGTATGGATGGAAGAAGCTGGCTGAGCACCAGCGCTTAAACACTCTGCATTTCAACACCGTGGGCCCTACGTGTGGGGACCACCATCACCGCCCCCTAGTTCGTGTTGGCTACCACAGACCCTCAATATCATTCCTGTGCCAGCAAGGACACGAGGACCGTATCGCTAGAGTCTATCCAGATGGATGTAACTATTTTATTCAGCTGTGGTGTTAGCTCCCTGCAGCTGCCGTAACAAAGGGGCACAGACTGGGGGGCTTAAAACAACAGGAGGCTATTCTCTCACGGTTCTGGAGGCTGGAAGGGGGCAATGAAGGTTTCGGCAGGACCACGTTCCCTCTGCAGTCTCTGGGGGGGGAGGATATTTCCTGGCCTCTCCCAGCTTCCTGTAGCCCCAGGATTTTCTTGGATTGTGGCAACGTCACTCCACCTCCATCTTCACGTGGCTGTCTTCCCTCTGTCTCTGTTTGTGTCCAGTTTTAAACTCTTATGAGAACACCAGTCGTGTTGGATGAGGGCCCAACCTAACTCAGTACGACCGCTTCTTGATGACCTCTGCAAAGACCTGATTTCCAAATAAGGTCGCATTCACAGGTATCAGCGGTCAGGACCTCAGCGTAGCTTTTTGAGGGACACCATCCAACCATAACAGTTGCTACCTTTGGGGAGAAAGAAGATGTGTTTGTCATGCAGAGAACCTACTGCGACTCTTCTCCTTGTTCGTCTGATGACTATTTTATTAGGTGTAAGCTTAGCAGAGTATTGTTTTAAGTGCTGAGGAATAAAATGCAAGGTGTTGTCTCTGCCCTCTAGGGCTTACAGTCTTACTGGGAACAGAATAGCACTCAGATAAAACAGTTAAATAAAAGCGGAAAGTAGGTTGGGTGGGCATCTGGAGTGAAACAAACAGTCCACACTGCAGGGGATGGGAAAGGGAAAATACTGTGGTCTGATAAGGGCAAGGAAGCCTTGGGTGACTGTAGGGTCTAAATAAGGGGAGAGGGGAGGGGAGGGCCTCCTGGAAAAGAAAATCAGCCATGGCTTGGGGTGGGAAGGAGTGTGACGTGTCGCATAGGGTAGGAGCTGGGGGCGGGGGGCTGTCTCTGGGAGGTGGGCATCTGGCAGAGATTGGGGACCAGAGGACCGCTCACTAGAGACGTGGAGAGGTGCAGGCCTTGGCCGCTTACAGCTAAGGGTCCAGGAGGAAGGTCATCCGTGTTCTTGGGTATGAATGAGAAAAGATCTAGAGGTTTCTGTTCTCCTGGGCATTTAGCAAAGAGATTTGGTCATAGAGATAATAGAACAAATATACCCAAAAAAGGAATGATGCGGCAACCCAAAGATGATCACGCGCAGGAAGCCACTACTCCCCTCGGGCTGGAGGGACGTGTTGGGAGCCCATCAGATGGGAGGTGGAACCAGTGTGTCTGTCTGGAAGGAGCTGGAACCGCAGAGGAGAAGCAGCCACTGGCCAGAGATGCCATGCGAGGCAGAGGGGTAGAAAGTCTGGCGTCTCCACTGCTTCCTGCCTTCCACCTTGTGCCAAACCTGCTGAGAGGCCAGTGGGCCAGGAGGTCTGGGACAGAAACCCTGGGGGAGGAGGGAGGAGACCGGAGGAGGGAGCCGAGAGGGAAGCGACTGGTAGAGAGGCATCAAGTCTCAAAATGTTGGCTTCTTCTCATGGACCAGGGATAACTGACAGGTTAGCCCCGTGTAAGAAGAGACACTGCATGGACGAGGAGACGGCCATTTCGACATTAGATCATTTGAAGTGATGGTATGGATGCAGACACAGGGTTTTTCCGTGATTGCAGAAGTTCTGTGCTCGGGACAGCCTCTCCCAGTTTAAGTGAGAGAGAATCCAGAGCGGGTTCTAGGTCTGCCTGCTGTGCCCTGCCCCCACCCCGACTGTGACTAGAAAGTGATATTCTTAACTGTTCATACCGCACAACTACGAAGCTCTTGGTGAAAGCCAGCGAGCCTGGGCCCTTCCAGGCTTTCTGAGGCGGTTCTGGGGCCAGGGAGGAGGGGTCCTCGTCTGTATCCCGTACTCAGCGGTGGGCATGGACCCTGTGCCCTGGTCAGAGCCTGCGATTCCACAAACAGACTGAGGGAACTGATAGCACCGTGAAGTTTCAACAACGTGCAGATGTCATGGATGGATAAACATGATGGAAACATACAATGGAATATTACTCAGCCTTGAAAAGGAAAGGAAATCCTGACGGACGCTGCAACGTGGATGAACCTTGAGGACGTTATGCTAAGTGAAATACACCAGTCTTAAAAGGACAGACGTTGTATGATTCCACTTATAGGAGGTCCCTAGAGCCATCAGATTCATAGAGACAGAAAGCAAAATGGTGGTCACCAGGGTCTGGATGGGGAGAAATGGGGAGTCAGTGTTTAATGGGGACAGAGTTTCAGTTTGGGAAGATGAAAAAAGTTCTGAAGATGATGGTGGCGATGGTCGCACAACCATATTAATGTACTTGATGCCACTGAATTGTACTCTTAAAAATGGTTAAAATGATGAATTTTATGTTAAGTATATTTTACCACAGTTTTTTTTCATAATTTAGGAGGCCACAGTTAGTTGGACTCCATATACCTTATTGTCCATGATCATTTTACAAAGTTCACCTTGTACAGTCTATTAAGAGGTGCTTCTAGGCAATTTGGTAAAATAAGTGACATGGGGATGGTAGCTGTCTATTTTAGAAACTATATTCAAAATTTATTTTAAGACCCGTTTAGCAGCACATAGGTACAAAACAATTAATGCACTTAGTTTTACCTGTATATAGGTTATAAATACAATTTTAGAAAACCCTACACATCTGTATACAGCAGTTAATGATAGTAAATTTCTGTAGTCTCAAAATATATCATTATGCCCATTATACCTTCACATAATACATATTTGATTATTCTAACATACTATTAAGGCTGATTGAGCAATCCTTTAATTATTATGAATTAGAGACACTTTCGGTTGTATCCTTTCACCACATTTTTGTTAATGAACCAGTCAACACTGCAATGTTTATATAGTTTGAGCTTCAGAAAATCAAATTCAAATCAGAGGGCTTCCCTGGTGGCGCAGTGGTTGAGAGTCCACCTACCAATGCAGGGGACACGGGTTCGTGCCCCGGTCCGGGAGGATCCCACATGCCGCGGAGCGGCTGGGCCCGTGAGCCATGGCCGCTGAGCCTGCGCGTCCGGAGCCTGTGCTCCGCAACGGGAGAGGCCACAGCAGTGAGAGGCCTGCGTACCGCAAAAAAAAAAAAAAAAAAAAAAATCAAATCAGAAAATCAAAACCAAAACACTTATGTTTTGAAATGATCTGTTTCAAAATTGGAAGACAGTGTTCCCACTGGCTACAGACATTAGACAGGGGTCTTCATCATGTGTTTTATCACACAAGGCCTCCAGGAGCTTCTTCGGCATGTTGGTCACAGCCTCTGCAGCTGTAGTTTGGCCCAGGTCTCTGCTTTCGGCAGCCCTTGGCAGCAGGGCTGGTGATGGATTCAAGTTCATTTAAGTGTTTCTTTCTAATTGGATTATGTTGACTGTCCTTATGTGCTAAGTTCCTTAAGCGTTTAGCTGATTTCATGCATTCCGTTACTGGCATAATCTTTATAGAGGAATGTGAGCTGCTTAAAGACGTCTATCAGCCTGAAAATATTTAGATAGAATTCATCTCTGCCTTTTGGAATAAAAAGATGCTCTCTGTAAACATTGACTTTTATAAAAGCGGATCACTTTTATAAAATCACTTTTATAATCACTTTTATAAGCTTTGTTCCCATGAATTTTATTCTACAATTGGAAAGGGGGTGAGGGTAATGAATTAGTCTTTAGTAGACAGCACTCATTTTATCATTTATTTACTCAGCAAATATTTATGAAGCAACCGCTGGGTGCCAGACACTGTGCTCGGAAAGGCTGATGGGATGACAAGTACGTAAGCGGCTCTTATGAGGCAGGGACAGTGTTCATTTCGTTCGCCATTTATTAACAGCACGTTATGCAGGGGAGGGGTTCGATAAATAGCTGAGGACTCACTGAACAAAGGAAGGAGGTCCTGTCTATTGGGGGGCCACAAATAGGGAAATAGTCATAATAGAATATTCGATAGAGCCTGTGTAGTTCTCATGGGAGAAAATCTCCAGTCCAGTGTGAGCACAAACGCCAGGCCCAGGGCTTCCCGGGTGGTGCAGAGGTTAGGGATCCGCCTGCCAACGCAGGGGCCGTGGGTTCGAGCCCCGATCCAGGAAGATCCCACACGCCGCGGAGCAACTAAGCCCAT